TTTATGCTCTCATAGGGGATAAAGCCCATTCCCTAGGCAGTCACAATACTTTGAGGCAAATATTCTCTAGAATATAGAACATAAGCTTTGGGAGCATCAGATATTGAGTGGCAAAAGACAGGGTTACCCTCTGCACTTACTTATACATTTACTTATATTTACCCTAGATAAGGCAAAGGTCTTAGCCCTCCTATGCCATATGCAATGCTTAGAAGATGTGGTTCGTGAAACAATCTTGATGAGTAGATAAAGAAGGTATAATATTTGTACAAAACAGATATTGTTATTAAAAAGAAAAAGTTTTTCATCTGTGGTAAAATGAAAATAACTGGTGGGTATTATGCAAAACCAGGGGGAGAAAAATATTGTCTGGATTCACCTACATGTGCATTATAAGGAAACAAAAACAGATAAATGGACAAAACAAAAATAAATAGGTGGCCATCAACAACAGAACTGAGGTTACCAAATGAAAGGGGCTAACGGTGAAAATAAGGGTAGAGGGACTCTAGTGGGTGAAGATGCATGTTTTGTTTAAATGCACACACATGCACACACAATTTATTAGAGAATAAAATCTATTTTAATGATGCTAAAAAGAAGACATAACCCTTTGGTGATATCTAGGTCTACCAAACGCTAAAAAGTCTTAGAAAATGACTCAATGGGCAGATAAGCCAATGAGTCTGATGAAGAGAGAGGCTGGCATAGACTGGGGTGAATGGAGCACTTGACTCTCAACGATGTATCATCCTTGATCCCCTGCATTTATTGGCAACAAGCTCATAATCAAGGATGATGATCCCACTAAGGAAGCCTGCGGCTCCTGAGAACCCAGCTATGACTCCTACAAGGGTCACTCTGAGCAAACTTTTCTCAGCTGTTTTCTGTGTCTCCCCATCTACTTTTCCTATGGGAAAAGCCACTACCTTAGGTTGGATGACTCTAAGTGAAAGGGAAAAAGGAAATATCCAGATGTGGAGGGATAGATAATTCTGGAGGAACCAACATGGGACAAATGTGACATTTGGAGTGGAGAGATACAAAAGGATATTTCTTTGAAGTAGAAGACCGTCTTTACTTAAAAGGTGGGAAAAGAAAAAGCCTCCAAGAAGGTTGAATGAGACTGGGTATGGTATAGACATTACACCACTAGACATTTCAGCTCACCAACAGAGAGCTTGGGAGGGGGCCAGACGTTGGCCAGCTGACTTGAATGATATTCAATAGGACAATCCTTGTCATGTTAAATCTGTCAACTCGCAAGAGCCTCTTAACTCTCTGAAGATAACAGGGTGGCTGCTGAGTTGCTGGCAGACGTGTGATAAGCATTGTCAATCCCACTGGGGCCCAGGTTGACATGGTCGACCTTGATCTACCACTGTGCGTACAAGAAATCACAGTCCAACAGCCTTATCCTGAGAGAACCCTTGTCTCCACGATCTCCACAAAAGTATCCCAAGACTGTTGCTGACCAAATGAATTTTGAGAGACATGAGGTCTGAAGTCCACCGTGGATGATAAGAGAACCAGTAAAAGATAGACTGGACAAAGTGCTAGGACCCCATCACCCATGCCACCACACAAAACGGGTGGTGCAAGATCTTGTGAAAGAGTCCTATCTGCCTGGGCCCTCGGCAACATCAGCCCTCACACCATTGGTTCTGGTCTAGCCAGGGGAGGCATCACCAGATTCAAAGTACAAACAGCAAGCTTTGTTTCCAATGCCCTCATGCTCAGGGGAGAATTTCAAGGCCATTGCCTTTCTAGGTGTCAGAAGCAGCCTTCTCCATAGGTCAGCTGTGTGGCACCATGGACAGTTAATGCCACCATGCATTTGTTCCCTCATTTGCACACACAAAGTCAAAGTGGCAGTCGTAAGGAATACTGTGGGCTGGCCTTCCAGAACACTGCCAGTTACTTGGGAAGGAAGTTCTCTGCACATGCCAGTTCCATTCTCTCATCCACTTACTTCAGTTTCCAATATCTAGTCAATGAACAGATGTTCTAGTTTGAGATGTCTGCTGAGAGAAGATGGTTATGACCTTCAGGCCATCATTGTCCTGCATCTTACATGCAAAAGCCTTAACAACTCATTTCAGTAAACAGAGATGTTCTAGTGGAACAGAACACAAGCCGCCTCTGGGTGCTGACACAGCCGTGTCCTTACATCCCACTCTCAGAAATCTGCTACAGGCTCTCCTGGAGAGGGTTGAGACCGCAGCCTCTCACTGCAGTGCCAGGGCTGCCTGGAAGCCCTCCAAACTCAAAAACTCCTGTAGTAACTCAAACAACATAAGGTGAGTCAGAGAGGTGATAGGCTCTGTGCCAGAGAGAGGGGCATGTGAGTCCTTTTCTGATCTCAGAGCACGCAGGGGAGAGACTGACCTAGACACACACGGTGGCAGAGCGTAGGAGGGCTGTGGCACCACCCACAGGCTGCTGGAGGTGCCAGATATGGGGGTCGCCACACGCTGCACCCCATGGGGGTCAGTGCATCTGCCCCTGAGGCACATAGATACACAGGAGCAGGAGCTTCAGTCCTGCTTTTAAAATAATCGCCAAATCCTCATCTGGGGACTGACATGCCTGGAGATGGGGGATCTAATTTTTTATGTACAACTCATGTAACATAAGAAAAAAATTAGAAAGGTTTGCAGTATGATGCGACCAAACACTCCCTGTCTAATTCCAAAATGCTTCCTTTACATTCAAAGGAAACCCTGAACCCCTTAAGTCACTACCCTCCACTCCTTTCTCCTCCTAACCCCTCACAACCCCCAACCTGCTGCCTGTAACATTGGCAGTTCTAGAAGAATGTCTAGCTGAAAGCATCTCATAAACGGCGCACTGGTACCTGCACACATCATCATGAAACTCTTTTTACAAATGAAATTTCCTGGGAAATCCGAAGGCGGGAGTCTGCCATCCCACTTTGACAGCTGACTGCTCTGTGGTCTCGGGAAAGTGGCTTCACCCTGAGCCTTCTGTCTCTCATTCAATGGTGAAACCAGCCACCTGTAAGGCTGTCTTGCCCAAAGGTAAGCTTGCCCACTATTAGCTGGTGCTCACCTGGTTTCATCTTCCCTTCCTCCACCGGTTCCCAGACCCCCCACTCTGTCCTACCCCCAGCCTCACTGAGGCTTCGGTGTGGCAATTTTAGCCCTTAGGCACTCAGCCACTCAGAGACGATGGTGTCTCTGCCCTCCAGAGGTCAGCTACAGGCTGGGAGAGAACATTACATTAGGCGGGGACATGTGTAAAGCCGGACTGATGATGTTTATAAAATATTCTGTTTCTCTGTGCTGTGCCTCCTTCCAGCTTTCCACCTGCCACGTGTCTGTTCATCTGCTTTACTGGGCCCATTACCTGCTGATCCTATAAGCGTGTGTGATTCCGGCTTTGTTTAGGTGTTTGCTCCCTTTGCTGTGCCAAGCAAAGCACAACCATGGCTCTTCCTAGGTTATGCTCAGGAGGAGGGGACACCACATGCTGGAATGGGGGGGGGGGGAGCCGGTGTCAAGAAAAACTACTTACTCCTTAAAAAACAAAGCAACAGCTAAGCTAATCTTCTATTTTCTAAATTGAACGATGTCAAAGACCTCCCTGGGAGAATGCCATCCACCAACAGTTTGGGGCTGTAGATACCATCCTACTTTGCAAACCCACAGAAGGAGCCAAGTGTCTGCCCTGGGGTTGCCTGCCGGAAGCTCACTGCTGGAACGTCATCTTAGTGGAACCTCAGTCCTTAAACCAGATCTGGCTTTATTTAGGAATCAGACCTGCAGTCAGTCATCCACCAACTCTTCCCAGGAAGGAGCTGTAGCCACGGAGAAAAGGGAGGGCCATCCCCAGCCCACCACAGCGAGCAGTGCCACGTGCTCAGGCCACACATCACAAGGTCTTTCTATGGTTTTCCTCCCCAAACAGTCAGGAGACATTAAGTCCCAACCAGGCTCCACACTTCCCGCTTTTCTGACCCCTCCCAATAAGAGAGGTTTAATTAATGGAGTCCCTTAGAGACATAGGAGGGAGGCGAGAGAGACAGAGAAAGAGTGAGGCAGCTGAAGGGACGGCTGCGACACCAGCCTCTGAGCTGGCTAGGCCGGGGGCCAGCTGCCCTCCCACCCTCCGGGCATGTCTCATGCTCACAAGAGTCCTCCACCCTCCAGCAGGCCCCTTACCCTGGATAGGGGCTGCATCTCTTGTTCCAAGAAGTGGATTTCTGGCTTCCAGTTCTTCCTGGCACATGTACCCAGGTTCCTCTGACCTCACCCCCAGTTTCGCCCAGGACAGGGTGGCTTCAGAGCACCCATGAGGGCAAATGGTCTTGGCTGAGTCCCCGGCTGTGCCCTGGCTGAGCACACGAGTCAGGACATGGCTGTGCTTTGTAACGTGCTCTGCTCGGGACCTCACTTCCTGGTTTTTCTTTCACAACTGAAAGTGGAAGCATTCTGAGCAAGAGAGCTCCCGAAGCCTCGCGAAGCAACCCCCAGCCCTGAGGACTGCCTCAGAAGCAGCCACACCAGCCTCAATTTTCTTCTTTGTCTGACAACCTCCAACCTAAGACAAAACCCCAAACTCAAAAGACCCAGGGGCCCCTCCCTGCTCTGGGGGGCAGGGCAGCAACCGGACTCCCTCCTGGGTTCCCAGGACAGAATAGTCTGGCCATAGGGCACTTTGGCCCTCGGGCCGTCTCACAGCGGAGGGGCATTGCTGCCAGCCCAGCCTGGCATTGCTGCCAGCCCAGCCTGGCCCTGCTCGCCCTGCCCAGTCCGCACACGTCACCCTCAGCTCCACAGTCCCTTCCTCCTGCCCCGTCCCTGAATCCAGGTGGCTGCAGCGCCCACACATGGGGAGTCAAAGTGACAGGGACCAGCCTGTTTCCTGTGGCACATCAGAGTATCCATCTTTCAGATCTCAAAGTTGCAATTACAATGTATTCTGCTTCCTCCTTCACCTGCCACAATAAAACTGGGCAATTTTAAAGTCACGGAAATACCCAAGCGTGTGTGCCATTAGCTGTCACATTGACCTGCATCTGGGGAGTTTCTGGAAAACTTCCCATGTATACGGGCGAGACTGTGGACAAGGCAAATAATTTCTTAATATTTTACTAAAATTCTTTGGGGTGTATGTCTTTGGCATGTAAATTCTGTGGGGGTTCCTCTGGAAGACAGAGACAATGAGTCCTCCAGCCACCTACCCCAGCCTCCCACCTCACTGACACCTAGAATGAAGGGACAGTTTCTCCAGCCTTGGTGCCTTTGGGAAGCTCAGTTAGCTCCTTAGTAGCCCACTCTGTGTGTCCTAAAAGCCCGAAGCTAAAAAGCCAGGAGGAGCTGAGTCTAGAGAACAGAAGAACCCACTCTCAGCTCCTTGGGGGGAGAACGGCAAAGCACTGGACGGTGAGGGCAGCCCTGTGCCATTCCCCTGTGCAGAGGAGCTCGAGCTCAGCTCCCCCAGAGGCAGAGGAGGGCAGAACGGGTGTCAGGTCTCAGCTATGTGGTATCACTGGGCTCTCCCTTGTGCTGTCATCTCTGACCAACCCGATCAAAGAGCTTGGGCCAGGAGGATAAGAGTGTTTCTTCTTTAAAACTGGTTTCCTCCGAGATTGATGCTCAGATTCAGAAGGACCTGTGTCCTTCTGACACCCTAGCAGGGCTGAGCTCCTAGTTCATCCTCTGTAAAGGATGGACACTTGAAGGTTCTAGGGAATAACGAATGGAGCCGGTGACGCACGGGAATTCTGTGTACTTCTGCGGTAGGCTGCAGTGACAGATTGACCCCAGCTCAAACCTCAGCCATGCCACCCCCAGCACGCAGCCCAGGCCACACTGTGTAACCGCATGGCCACACTGCTCTTATGTGCCATGGGAACAAGACCACCCACCTGCGAGGTGGTGAGCAGAGAAGTGGTGCATGTCCCACACCTGTGACCACCCCAGGATCCCAGGGAAAGTCTGTTTGCTCCTCCCTGCTGAGTGGGGATTACTACCATCCACCAAACCCAACAGAAACTTCCAGGGAGTATGACAGAGACCCACCTCCTGGCTTTGCTACAGCCCAGAATGCTTTTAAGGCTGTTTTAGTTGCATTCAATAAAATTAACAACTTACAAAATTAACAACTTACGTTTGCAAGTTGATCTCCCTCCAGCTTTCAGGCAGGCTGATGTCTCCACCCCCTTTCTAACAGATTTTTTTCTTTTCCCTCCCACACAAGTCTGCTGAGATTACTATGCAACCAAATTTTCATGTTGTAAAAAAAGAGCCTGAGACTGAAAATAGGCCTGTGACCCCCCCCCCTTGCTCCCCACAAACCCTCTCCATCGCATTCTCCCATGGACACACAGACTGCGGAGCGGGAGCCCCTGCAGCTTACCTGGGAAGATCTCTCTCTGCCGGCCAGGCAGCGTTCCTCTCAGCTGCCTGCACTCGGTCAGCTTTCAGACACCTCTGCTTTCTTCACAGCTCCCTGGACAGGGCCACACCTGAATCTGCTGCGTACTGTCCTGAGTGGCCAGTGAGTGCCCTGGAACCTTTGAACCTGTCGCAATAGAGGTTCAAAGGTAGAAGTTACCTGTACAAACACTCTAGTAACCTCTGACACTTGAGAAGTGTAGAATTTGGCAAAAGGTTAAAACAGGAGATTGTTATGCAATGGATTTAAGAGGAAAAAAAAAAGACAGTGCTTAAGTCAGAAAGGCTAACATTTAACAAAGTAAAACCTTTGATAAAACCCCTACCTCAGGGGATGGGGTGGACACTGCTAGGCATCTGCCTTTTAGGCAGAATCCTGGAGAGTGTGATAGGAAAAGGCAGGGCTAGATAACAAGAGGAAAGAAATGCTCCTTGAATGTGATGGGAGAGAAAAATGAGAAGCCACTCAAATTGGCTCAGGCTATAATTTTAAGATTCAGAATAGCAGGAGTCTGCATTTAGAGATCAGCCTTCTTCTAGAAGGGACAAACCACCCCTCCAGAATTAGAACGTCTCCCAGACAACCAAAGAAGCCAAATCACTCTAGAATGTAGAGTCTAGACTGAGGGAGGGGCAGATTGAGCTGAATTTATAGAATGCAGAGTCACGGACCCACCTACGTGTCAGCAGGGGTCTTGAAGAAGCAGCCTGGCTTTGCATTGCCACCCAGCCTATCCCACTCTCCCATTCTGTTTCCAAATTACTAGTCATCATCCTCCATTCCAAAATCTTTAGGACTGCAAGACATCACTAAAGGAAAATAAGGGAGACAGAAGAGACCATGGAGATTGCACGTGATCTCTTTTACTGGTCAGGCCAACAAGGCCTCAGGTGATAAAAGAAATCGCCAGGGTCACCAAGGAGAGAGTCATCAAAGCAGAGCCTGACCAAGGCTCACAGGCAGGCACCACAGCGCCTCTGCCTCATAGGTGCTGTCATGGACAAGTGGTTAGCGAACCACTGTAACACTACAGACCTCAAGACACGGTACAAGGGTGTACCAAGCCTGCAGAAATTCGTGGAAATGTATTCAGTTTCTTCTCATTGTATTGTTTTGGGCCACACAGCCAATGTAAGATCAAAAGCCAATACCACTTCCTGCTGACTGGAGGAGGGCTGGAGTATTAACAGAGAGGTCTTATTAAGCCAGATTCTCCTCCGGATCTTGGAGGCATGAACTCTTCAAGGTTCTGCCTTGCACCACAACCCTAATCCTGTCTTAGTCCCTGAGAGAGGAAGATTTCTAAGAAAGGTCTAAACATCCAGGGCAATGAGAAATGGGAGCACCTGCTCTCTTGATTAAACTAGAGCTAAATCCTCTTCAGAAATAACCTATGACACCTCTGATGCTACACTGGCCAGAGGGCAAGATGCTCCAAGCTAGTGGTTCCCAAACTTAACCAGGGTCAGAATCCCTGGAGAACTGTCACAACACTGCATGCCAGGCCTGTGCCCAGCACTTCTGACTCAGTGGACCCAGGTGAGGGCTTAAGATCTGCATTTTTTAAAAAAAGATATTTATTTATGCATACAGAACCCAGAGGTGCAGGGGCAATGAGAGGTTCCCCAGAGACAGAGTGGGGAGCAGAACAGGCACATCAGTGAAGTACACTGTTGAGGGAAGCAGCAGGCGAGGCAGGAGAGGTCTGCCGCGCCATGTGGGTCACCTAGGGGCCTGGGATGGAACTCGCATGGAAGCAGCTTTGGCTAGCTCGCAGTACTGCATCCTAACCCTTTGCACCACCAGAGAGGGCCCGAGATCTGCATTTCTAACAATTCCAGATGATGTGGATGCTGCTTCTGGGGACCCCACAGGTGGTGTCACTGCCCCCAAACAGCCCCCCATCTTTCATGGGTCCAGCAATAGAAATTCTCAAAGGGGCTGTGTTTGGGGTCAACTTGGCAGTGGTGACTCCATAGTGGGAGGACACCTTGACACAGAGGGGAGCTCATCATGTGCTCTGGAGGAAAGGGATTACTCAATCCAGTGGGAAAGACAAGCCCCAGGGCATTGCTTTGACAATAGAGGAGGTGTTGCCACTCCGTCCCACTTCTCCTTTATGTAATTGTGAATCACAGCTGCACAGCTCCCCAAGCAGACAACCCAGGTGGGCATGAATGTGGGCATGCTGGGACATCACCTTACTCAACCACCTCAATACCTGACACCTCCACAGGTGAAGCAGCTGCCTAGAGTGAGGCTTTGACTTAGTAGGAGAAGGAAGTCCAGAACCTGGTCTCCAGTGTCCCAGAAGGCTCCACTCTCTTTGGACAAGCCACTGTGGCCAATGTCAAAAGACGGATGTGTCAGAGGGTCCTTTGCAACGCCCTTCTTGCTTCCCTCCCTCCCCACAGTCACTCACATTTCAAAAGCAGAGGTTCAACATCCCGTACCCCCTAAAACATGCCAACCCTTACTGTTTTGGGTCCCCTATAGCTGAGGTGCCAGGTGTGTGCCAGGTCGGCCCCAAAGGCCTCACTTCTGACCTGCTCACACTGCTCTCTTATGCTCCATGGGGCCCTGGGGCCTCACATTTCATACATAGCAGTTTTAGAAGATCCGTAGCCCACACTTCAGAGTTGTGTCACACAATCTGGAAACAACCAAGCCACCTCTGATGAGAGGTGCTGATAGCTCTTCAGAAAAAAAAATCAGATTTTCCCTGTTTTTGAAAGCAGGGAAAGGCAGACCTTACAGCAGGCCAACATTACATAGCCCCGTGTATTTTAAACGCTCCTCCCAGTTTATAGCCCACTTGCAGCTATCGCTTAGCAAAACTGG